GGGAAGAATAGAGAGGTTGCGAGTTTAATTAACACAATGGCCCCACTGCAGACACGATTAGTGATTGAATACAGTTGATACCCACTTTAGATCAATTTTAATAACCAATTATTTGTTTATCTATATCAAATGGCAGGCGTTTTGACAGTTATCATTAGCCGCCCGTTAGCTGACTTTGGGCGTCATAGAGAGGAGAAGAAACATCAGTGACAAAAAGTCGAGAGGGGGGACAGAATAATAGCATCAAAGTGACAAAAAGTCGAGAGGGGGGACAGAATAATGATTTACAGATGTAAAAGAGACAGACAAACACAGAGGCAGAGAAAAGGTATGATGATTAATCTGGAGTGGTGCAATATGAAATAGTGTCTGGTCATAGTAGTTAGAAGTCGACTGCTGAATAATAGACTTTTTTGCCGTATGAGTATACGTTGTCCAGGATACCCCACGCGGAGGTAAGTCTATTAGTATTTATTTGAGAAGGCAAATCCAGGCACGAGTCGCATCTTCCAGAATATTCTGCTGTGCACGAGGCTAATTGGTTGGCCTTGCATTTCCTTTATGAACCCCATAAAGACATTTTTGGAGAGCGAGGAATAAATGTGGCATCAACTTAGATTCTACTTTTTCTGCCTGAATAGCTAGATTGACCAAGGTGAAGATCAATAAACCATACTGTGCAACACACAGTATAAAGAGAAACTGAAAATCATAGACTTGCAGTGCAGACTAGAGTAGTATCTGGAAAATCCGACATAACCCCTAGAGTATTCAAGAAACTTGGCGGATTTATTGATTCGCGTCCAGGGATGTGCGATAGAATTGCCTCCACGTGGTGCACCCTGGGCAACGTATATTCATACGGCAAAAGTCTATAAACCGGCAGTTGACTTCTCACTTCAAACTACCATCACCCCACTCTATGTGATATTCTACCACTTCCACAATACTCACCTTACCTTTTCTCTGCCTTTATGTCTGCCTATCTCGTGCATAATTAAATCACTGATCTGTTCCCCCTCGAATTTTCTCACTTTGATTTTCTTACCCTCTGTGAAGTCCGAAGTCAGCTAAAGGGCTAATGAAAACTACCATAAAGCCTGCCATTTGAAATAAATATTCAAAAAAATGAAATTTTCATGAAAATAGGCAGAGATTTACTACAGTTAGTGACAATAAAGCAAGGTTTGTAGCTACTAATTTAGGGACAACGTTTATACTGTCATGTGACAAACAATTTGCTCAATCACAATACATAACCAAGTTGCTATCAGGAAGCGACTAATTGCTGAAAAATTCACAAAAGCTTGTCGGTTTACCAAAATGTCAATCAAATACAATTTTTATTGGGGACTCCAAAACTGTTGCTCAGATAAAGGAATTAAGCTCCATCGATAAGGAGCCTTAATTTATTAAGAAAATGCAAAGAGCGTAAGTTATCATCAGCCTTTTAGTTGACTTCAGACTTCACAGAGAGAAGGAGGAACAAAGTGGAAAAGCAGTCGAGAGGGGGAACAGAAAAGTGATTCAGTTATGCACGAGATAGGCAGACACAAAGGCAGAGAAAAGGTAAGGTGTGTACGGTGGAAGTGGTGGAATAGGACATACAGTGGGGTCATGGTAGTCTGAAGTCAACTGCCGCTTAATAGACTTTTTCGAACACCCTCCGGATATAAATCATCAACTTGCATTTATCGAGGGTAATGAGTTAAATAGAAAAATTCGATTTACTGACCCAGTGAAATCACAAGAGGAGATCGAGAAACCGAACTTTGTATTACTCTGTGGCCTTCAATCTACTCAGACCAACAAGGGGGGGGGGAGATTGACTTTGAGTTCAAACGACGGTTTACCGTAGAGAAAATAAATCTTCCACAAATAGATTTTAAGGGGAAACAATGATGACGATGTTGGTCTTATGCATCCAAGACTGAGTATATAAGTCAACTAAACAAACCTTCAGTACCTGGAGAACGAAAAATACAAGTGTATTTGATCGAATCTACGAAAAATATCCAATTTCGGCTTTCAAACAGGGCTTCATTCAAAATTACTCCGCATAAATTATTTAAACACGTAATTAGGTAATCTACTGCCAATAATTGGACACATGGTATAATTTTTCACATACCTCCTTCAATAACAATGAAAGTAGACACCAGAAGTTAGCTGAAAATTATAAGAGCGATGAACTCATTTATTGGGAAGAAAATGCGCAATATTAAGGGGTTATTCCACACAGATCTAAACCAAGAGTTTCAGAAGTTTGACCACAAATATTTGGACAGAGACGGCAAGAACCTTTAACAAATTGAGTCTAAAGATCTCCTACTTTGATGTTGAATAAAAGTCAGAAGTCAACAACCGGTTTATAGACTTTTTAGCCGTATGGGTATACTTTGATGTTCCTCCTCCTCCACTGTGAAGCCTGAAGTCAACTAAAGGGCTAATGATAACCATCAAAACGCTTGCCATTTGATATGAATAAATAAACGTTGAATAAAAGTAAGCAAAGAAACAGGTAAATGCAACAAATTTAAATTTACAAAATATGAAATAAAGCTTTACAGCAATCATCTTAGTCGATTCTTCAAGTAGCACAAAACGCGGTTAGCCTGCTCCCGATCAGCACCTGCAATCCAGTTTACACTGATTATTAATCGATCGCATCCACTCTCCCCATCAGTTGCGTCCATTTTCTCGCAAAGTTGGCCTTGACACTCACCCACACCGTCTTCATTGTCTTCTTCGTCTGAATTAGAAAAATCCCCATCTTCTTCGCTACTCGAATCTCCACCATAGCCTTTCTGCTGAGATTCTACGTAGAAATCGGCTACCAGGATAACCTCACCATCAATATCTGTATAATCTTCACAGAGTTCTTCAATCCACGACATACCACCGTCGCAGACTTCATCCATTCGACAGCGTTTGGCGGGGTTTTCATCAGGATCTGAGTCATCACCGGTAGAAAGAGGTCGCTTTCTCTCGCCATTTTCAGCTTGCGACACTTTATGCTGTTGAAGTTCGGATTGCTTCTGCTTTAAAAGAGCTTCCCGACGCTTTCGACGAGAGTGTGTCCAGGTATCCTCTTTCGCCTTGGCTCGAAGGTGACAACCGCCCATTGAACGTTTATTCTTCTGAAGAATAACGCTCATCTAAACATAGCAGACAAGGAGATTAATAGAAAAAAGTATCTACAATTGAATTTTCAAAAAAAGTACATCACATTGAAGATTCAGAGGAGAAACTCTTGAAGCAAATTGCAGCAAAAAGCTCTTAAATCGCTCTCAATTAAAACAACACTTAAGAGAGGAAAACCAACCACAACTAAGTATCAAATGATTATTCTATAATTTCTGCACAAAAGAAAAGATTAGGAATCACACAAAGTTTTAGTGAAAACTCGATTATTTTCAAGGGTGCAGATTTTGCAAAGGAAAGTTGATTAACTAAAGAATGCAAATTAAATTCTACTGTGCCTTCGTACACACTGATCTAACTGGCATAATTTAAAGTATAATTCAAAATTTTTAAGACAAAAAAGCTGTCAAATTAAAAAAAAATACACATGTCCAGACTGTTGCAAAGACAGTACTGAAGCCCTGAGCAGTCTAAAATGCCCTCCAAAACGTCTGGAGCTTTCGCAATCAAGAATCCGAAATTTGGAAAGGAAAAGCTCGGTGTGAAATGGTAAAAGAACCATCTGATAATGACTTGCATTAAAATTAAAGAACTTTAAAAATGTGACATTAAGAAAAAAGATTAAACTACATTTCCAGGATGCTTATCAAGCATTTGGTAATTAACAGGTGGGGAGGGTGTGGGGGAGGGGAAGTACCCACAATTGCATTAAAAGCACTTCAAGCCGAATAAATAATAGCAAAGGGGGGGGGTGTGCGATAGACTTACCTCCACGTGGTTTACACTTAGCAACGTATACTCATATGGCAAAAAGGTCTATTAACCGCCAGTTGACTTCAAACTATCATCATCATATTCGACTACCTTCACAGTATTCACCTCACCTTTTCCTACCTTTGCGCCTGTCCCTTTTACATCTTTGAAACACTCTTCTGTTCCCCCCCCCCCCCCCCACCACCTCTCGATTTTTTTTAAATTTGATGTTCCTTCTCCACTGTGAAGCCTGAAGTCAACTAAAGGGCTAATGCTAATTATCAAAAACGGCTGCCATTTGATATAAATAAAATAAATAATAACAAAGGGAAGAAAAACATCACACACACCTTTAGACCGAGAAGCTGTCGGCGAATCCATTCTAGAAGACATTTTCTCGTGTATTTCTCTAAGCAGGAAACAGTTGGAGGAAGAGTATAGGTAAGTGGGGGTCGATGAAATTTACGCTTCTGTTTGAATTCTGAGACCTGAGAAATAGAAATGCGATGATTGAAAAATTTGGTATGGATGGTTTAGACATCCCCCCCCCTCCCCCCACGATGCGCCAACGAAGTGGGAATACATGCAGTGTCTCAGAATAAACGCCAATTCTGAGGTTGCCTAGCTCTTATTCTCACGCCAGTAGATTCGGGTTCACTGGTTTGCTTAGCAAATCAAGCAATCCAATAATTGAAGCTAGTGCGATTTAATCCCTTGATGCGAACGAATATGCTCTGGTCAATCGGTGGAAATTTCTTAGCTTGTCAAGACTAAGCTCGATGGAGTAAAATTCCGGAAGAGGGTAGTGTTTACGTCGGCTAGTTTTGGATTCGGAGAGCGCTCGACAGATCCACACTAGAAACCATGACAACAATGAAACTCTGAATTAAAAGAGCCCTGGTTATTGAAGTCGGCCGGTCAAACGAGAAAAAAAACAGTTAACAAGTAACTTCGACCATCCATTCTTGTCACATTTGCAGGTCTCATTTCAGTCAATAAATGAGCACAGAGAGATGTTGATGAACAGATGAAGCATAAAATTCCTTACTGAAAAGTATAAAATAACGAACTGGCGATTCAATTTTTTAGAATTTTCTTTCATTTCATTTCATTAAACACCCAGTAACTACACAATCTCAGAGGCTATTAAACCCTTGGACGCATATTAACTTCTTAAAAATATAATAAAATAAGAATTAAATTATAATTTCCGAATTAATGGAAAACACACCGGAAATTGGAAGTTCGGCAAAAAGGTCCACGCAAAGCCCCATCGCATAACTCTTCCTTGGCACATTTCGTACACGGAAGATCGAGTGATTCCCATTTCCTTCATTATCCTACGGACAGCTGGTACGCTGCGTTTTTTCCCCAACATTATTGTAAAGACCCTAAGCAAAAAACAGAAATAGGGTTAAAAACCACCGCACTTACTTAACATTATCTCTATATCGCAAACTATCCTCAGCTAATCGGCGAGCGAAACCAACTTCACCACCAACAGTTTGACTCTCATTTCGGGCGGCCGATGAAGTTGACTTCGGAGGTGGTCGTGCAAAGGATCGAGTGGAATCCGCTCCGATTGCATCCACAACGTTTTCAAAAAACGGCGGATTCGCAATGACAACATCAATTATGATTTGCGACGGTAGAATATTGTCGAAAACCTGCTGCAATGGGGGTGCTGTATCATCATGTACCCGAATTACTATAAACGATATTTAGCGTTAAATTACCCTACATTTAATTTGGTCAGTCAAATGATTTCTCTCAATGGTTTCCAAGGAATGTTGATAATTGCGAGTATCACTTTCGGAGGCGAAAAAATGCCAGCCATTCTTCTTTGCCCCAATAATTGGATATATACAACAAGACCCAGTTCCTATGTCTAATACCTTGGGAGGAGAACAACACGGGGATAATGCTGAAAGTTACACTTAACTAGATTAATATACCTGCTAAAATATCTTCGACCCATAAAACATAATTCAAACGCAACGGAATGGTTGGAATAAGGCGATCAAGAGGAACTTCTACATCTAATCCAAAGTCTTCCATTAGCAAAGCACGAGCAAGGGCAGCCAAAAACCTAGGTTGCTTAAAATGCGAATGAGATTTCCCATCTTCACACTCTGAAAATGCTTCGGAAAAGAAAGGATACTTTTGAGCTAATGTTCGAAATGATGGCTTCTTCGTTTTATAAGGATTTCGACTATGCATGTACAAATTTAGTGCCATTGCTAATCAAATTGAAAAAAAATCCCAAGCACCAACGACTTATTTTCAAAAACTTGCCAACACTTAATAGTTTTATAAACATCTAAATTCAAAACACCCCATAAATAAATTAACTATGAAATTTAAATTATATTTATTTTTAATTTAATTTATCGGTTGGTACTGTTGTTTCTATCGATGAAAAGGTAATTTCATCTTTTAACTTTTGGTACTTTAGTTTAATAGAGCCACTTTTTTGCTTGTGAATGCCCCACATCTGACTACTCTAATTAAGTTGATGTTTGCTTAATCTTCGAAGCAATCTTTTAGCTCTTTTTTACTTAAATCACTGTGCAATTTAATTTACCGTTACTCTATTCATCGATGTTCTCTATTTTTAGCTATTTTTAAAACTTCTATTTATATTCCCCTTCCAATCAATTACTACAGATTCCAGTGTATTTCTAATCACAAGCAATAAGCTTTGACTATTTCGGTTCACGCATTTGTTTTTCGACTAGATTGCCAGTTCTGACCGGACACGATGAGTCACCATTAGAGTTTATCATACTGCCAAACACAAATCCACCTTCCGAGATGCTTAAGCAACACATGGCTAGGGCACAATTCTAATGTTACTTATACCAGCACAAGGCTAAGTTTCAAAACCTTCGCAGGCACAAAGAAGGTCATCAAAAAAACCACTCCATTCCTGAAATTTATATTGAATGAATAGTGTAAGTGGAAAGCAAATCCAATAAACCTGCGTTTTTCGGCATGATTACACAAGCCGCATACTATAAAGAGATACAGAGAGATGAAGTGAACTGATCGTACGGTTCACGCCACAATCACCACATCAGATCACGTGGTGATAATGTTTGTCGGTATGCGAGTGTCAATATGCAAGCGATTTGTGCTGTGCGGGTGAATTGGTGCAACCACTAATCAATTAGTCAGTCAGTCTGCATTAACATGCCGAATACAAAATATATACTATCAAGGACTGCACATCCCTCCTTGTGAATGTAGGCGGTGGAATGTTCCAGAATCCAATGTGAGCATTGTACACAGACTTAGAGAGATAGAGGAAGAACAAAACAGCGCAAATGTAGATTCCGAATTTGGTTTGTTAAGGAAAGGGGATGAAGTAAACTAGGATAATCACAGAACAGCAGAGTAGATATAGATATAGGTAGAGAGAGATAGAGAGAGAGACTAATCCACACTATGTACACATGTAAACAAAATGGGTGGGGGGGGGGGGGAAGTCAATTAAGATCTGATACAGTTTTATACACAAACATTTAAGAGGGGAGATGAAATTGAATGCGATGGAGGTAGCGAGATCGACTAGAGTCGATGGTGTTGGTTGTTATTAGTAGTTTCATTGCTAACATCAGAACCGCCTACAACAAAATTTGCCACTACGGCAAGGAGAAAAGCAGTAAAGCGATCTAATGATGCTGAAGAAGTAGTCTGGGTGGTCTGTTGTGGAGGCACGACTTCAACTGTCTTAGAATTAGCAGCAGTAACAGCGGCTGAAAAGGCAGCACCAGCATTGAAGACCTGCTGGGATGCGGCTGTGCTGGGGAGACTAAATTGTTGCATTAGAGATTGCTGATAAAGGTTCAAGAGAGCTTGGTGTTGTTGTTGTTGTTGTTGAACTCTTTGCTGATTTTGTTGTGATTCGATGTAGCCTTGGAAACCAGGAGGGAAAAAGGGAGGGCGAGGTGGTTGTGGAGGTGGGATATTATTAGGGAAGAAGAGACTGACATTATTATCCCATGAATTTTTAGTTGGCGATGGTTTGCCAGAAGTCTGCATCTGTGGGGCAAGTAAGAAATGGGGTTGTTGTTGCTGAGGGATTTGCTGAGATGGTTGAGCGAAAAAAGCCCCATCGGTGCATTCACTCTTCATCATTGGTTGAACACGACCAACCGGTACTGAATGAAGAAACAAGCAGGTAAGGATGAGTTAGAAGATAATAGGCAGTGTTAACCTTTGTGTGACGCAACTCAACCTAAATCAAACTAATTATCTCATACCTGAGACTAAGCTCATCTATATATAAATTGAGTTGCATAATATATATATATATATATATATATATATATATGGTTGTTAAAATATATTTAATGGGGGAAAAATAAAACAAAAACGTACTTTTTTTATCGGAGCGGCATATGAGAGAAGAGGAGAGTTCCAAATCAATTGAGGTGGATTCCGCTCTAAAGGCAAAACAGTGATGGTTAGGGATAAAAATGGGCATAGACGAGTAGGGATTCTTATAGCGTATTACTTTGCATAGTTGATATGCATTAGCGAATAGCTTGTGAAGAAATAATCGAAGTCACTGTAGCTCTTGAGCAAAAAAAGATACTGAAACAACAACGGCTGTGATCTAGTTTCTCGAACCATCTTCCAGCCAAAAACAAATATATGAAAAAACAAGTAATAAAACTCAGTGACTTGTTAAAGCAAATCAGATCATAATTTCCGATTAGGATTTCCTCAAATTCCTATTACGCTAACTACATGTCCTGTCAGAATACTACATTTGATAACAATGCGCGCGAGCAAAATAGTCGCACAAACGCTAATACATATAACTAAGGCAACACAAAAAATACACGTATAAAATTAGCCAGAGCAAAGAACTCAGTTCAGGTACATAAGCGTTTAATTAAATCATAAATTACTCCTCTCAAAAACACCTACTAGCAAATAATTGGCTTTCGGGAGGACTCTACAATTCACTCAATACATTCAAGTTATAAACAAGACGAAAAACGAATCAAACAAATATGCATTCACTTACCTATCTTCAATAGCATTAGGCGAGGTTTTGGGCGCAACCTCCTCGTAGACACCGATGACGTCACTATCAGTATCGTCATCATTGTAGGCATCTCTTGTGGTGGAAGTCACAGCGGCTTCATCAGCGCTTTTGTCCAGTTCATTAACATGACTATGACGATATTCTCCTGTTGCCGCTTCGCCCTCATCTTCTTCGCCTGAGGTGTCCAACAATTCTATCGGTCTCTCACGACTGCCAAGCGCTGGCTCTTGGGTTTCAGCAACACCGCTCGTTGCGTTGACGGCCCCCACTTTCTCTGGGGGCCATGAACGTTCCCCCGAATAAGAAGCTACAAACGAAAGAAAGGAAAGCCGTTTGATTAATGGATAATTTAATATCACTAAAGCAACTAATAACGGAATCAAGTTCATGAGAGCATATATCATTCAGATAAAACTTTTATCTCAACATGGTGCTAGGAGGACGAAAACCGCCCCCAACTCAGTTCTACACAAGAACCATGACAAATATTTTAATTGCATACCTCTTTCTATTTATGTGCTTATTTTTCTAGAGCAAGTTTTAGGCCCTTTCATGCCCTAGTCAGCTTAGGTTATCTTGCAATCATTTTTCTAACAAAGTAGAAAGTGTTATCTAAAACGACTGCTCATTGAATTAATGTCAAATAGCTAGAAAAATCTAAATTGAAAAAGCAAACTTTCTTAAGTGCATTCAACTTCACGTGTAACTGGAAGATAGATTAGAAGAAGTGAGATAACCTCAATAAGGAACCTACGATGACTTTACGTGACCACTTACACAGATTATGCAATTCGACCTCGACTCATAATACACCCTAATTAAATATGTGGCTTTACTATATGCGTATTCATATGAGTTCTGTCCTACTTACTCATTCCCCCCCTACAGCACGAAGTCCCGTGTATTCAAACACCCAATAAATTAAGTTATAAGGCAGTCCCCTCCTCATTTGATCAACTAATATGCAATCTCGTACTCTAGGAAAGAATCACGAGTTTGCTATCTTTGCTCCCTCTCTCACTCCCACAGCGTACAAGTCACATGGCGATGGTAGTAGTAGTAGTAGTAGCTAGTTTTATGCGCGTGCAACCCACCTAAGTACAACACACAGAGGGAGCTCTATAGGGAGGGGCAAATAACACGCGCACAAAAAATTTTGATTACCGACCCTTACCGACCCTTCCTAATACTAGCTAGCAAAAGAGGTATAAAATTCGCTTGTATGATATGATGCAATGAGTAGCACTAAGTTCAAGACTAAAATACTCTACGGCAGTTAGGATAGAATAGCTGCTACCATCACCACCACAACCAAATTCCCTGAACTCTAGAGATTTACTCTTTCTTTGGCTAATAATCGAAATAGAGGAGGCGAATAAGGGTCTATACACGAACCCCATTTGTCCGTTTTAGAAATCAAACTCCATTAAGACCCTGCCGTGGTTTTAAGTGAGAGTCCCCACCCTGGATATTTGAATAAGATAAGGGAGATATCGAGGTCAATTAGAAACAAATCTTTACGTTTCAGGACCGCAGTCTTTACACTAAACTCACTCCAAACGTAATATTGAAAGTTTCATAGATTTAGCATTAACACTAACTGACCATTTTTATTGATCAAATGAGTTCGAGAAAAAGGCACAATAATCGATAAACCCATGACATCTTGCAATCTTTAAATGATGTACTGTAAATGCGAAGTGGAAGTGAAATCAAAAGTGCAATGCCAAAGTCATTGCAAAAGTACACACGCACAGAAAGCCCGATCCATTTTAGCGAACTTACCGGCTGAAAATTGTGCCTCATTTTGCTGAAGGGACGTTGAAGCAGCAGCAATTTTATCACCTCGAAACAGGGATGAAATCGGCGTTGAAGTCATTAATTTCAATGGAATGACCTGCGCAGACCTCTCGTCAATATTCGACTCGGGCAGAAATAACTGCTGTTGATTTTGCTGACCGACTGTGCTGCTAGAAACCGATAGCTGTGTTGCCCCACTGGGCTGCTGTTGAGATTGAAAATGCTGATTTGAAGAGTTGAGGTTGAGGTTTGAAGTGTGATCGCCAGGGGTGGATTTCATTGCATAGTAGTGAGATGCATTCGCTCGAACCAGTAGCTAAAATGAGAAATACTAATTAGGCATTTTGAAGTAACCTTAATAACAAAATATTCTACTTAGTGATAGAGCTCCACGAAGATAGATACAGAGAGCCATTTACTGGACAAAGAATTTGCATGACTTGAACAAAGAATTAATTAAAGAAACCCTACGTTCAAGCTCCAACAAAAAGCCATTGTACCAAAATCCTAATGGAAACTAATACTGGATAGCTGTAGCTAAGCTAGGGAAGCGCGTGGAAAATGTTGATTTGAAAATGTTAGTGTAAAATTGTCATTTTTTACAAAATGAAAACTATAATTGGAAGATTCAGGTATAATCGATATCAATGTCAGAGTTAATAGCGAAACCTATTCAAAAGATGTGATAGAGAAAAGAATAACAAATAAGCTGAATTGTGAAGAAGATAATATCCAGATTATTTGAAAGTTGAGCATTTTTATAAGCTTTGATGTAGCTAATGGTACTTTAAATATGGGCTAGAGCGCGAAAAGAAAACCCTGCGCATTGTAATCACTTCCACATCCTGGTGACTGACAACCGTTGAGAGCGTTTGACACTCACCGAAAATAGATCAGGCGAAAGATTAAAATCCTGTATGCCATTGTGGTAATTAGAGACAGCACCACAAGTAGGTGGCGGCGGCGGGGGTAGTGGAGGAGGAGGATTGATTAACTGCTGAGGCTGTTGAAGAAGCATCTTCATAAACATCTGATTAGCAGTATTTGCGTCGTTAACACGATTCCCACCACCACCACCACCATACATCACTAAGTCACGCAGAGCATCAGCGACTACATCATTTACTTGATGATTACTGGTAACAAGGGGCGGTGGAGGCGGCGGCGGCAGCGGATGAGGATTGACGATCGGATGTTGGTGGAGAAGAGGCCTTGAAGATGATGTCGAGACAGGATTGGATTGCATAAACAATGTAGAGAGGGGGTTATTATCAAAACCTCCCAAACCACGTACCATCGCTACTGGTTGTTGTTGCTGTTGTTGATTGTGTTGCATATCACTTCTATCACCGCCACCACTTGGATCATGAACATTGTTAGACAAAAAAGACATCAGCGAGTTCATGGCTTGCTATATATAATGAAAAAGAGATAGCAGATTGGATTAGTATCAGTGCGAAAATAAAATAATAAAGGATTAATTAATAAATTTCCTTGTCACAATTCATTGTTTATGTTTACTTCCCTTTATTATTGAAAACAACCCCCCCCCCGTCTTAAAAAAACTCATACAAATGAGCATAAATTACACTAAGCTGTGCATACTTCGAATTCAACTGCAGTTAGCTTCACTAAAACAATAACGTACGTTTCTTCCTTACCGGCTGGGATATCAGCCTATATAGCGTATTTAGTTTTAAAACTAATATGCAAACGTGCATACCAATGAACTTGGCCAGTCACGACACGCAAAGTCACCGTTGTAAATAAGTTTCTAAAGAATAGCAAGAAAGGTTGGGCAGGGGGAGCACTTTTGCCCCCCCCCCTTCTCTCTCTCTCTCTCTCCCTCCCTGAGTGTGCGTGAATTTGAGGCTTTAGTAATCGTAAATATTTAAAAGACAACGATTTATGCCAACTTAGTTTAGACCACCGAGAAGCATTTAGACGTTGACATTCGAGTATCAGAGCTAGTACTTTCAATGCCAACAACCCTAATGCTGTCATAACTAAAGAACTTAGAGAGTTTAAGGGCGAATACCGTAATTTTAGTTAACTAAATTGAAGATGAAAGTATGAACAAACTCACTTGGTTAGAGAAATCCAAAGCAGATTGCATCTGCTGAGCAGCCTGTTGTTGAAGCTGTTGTTGTTGACTCGACAAAAGCAGGCACTTCGCCAGAAGAGCTGATGTAGCGTTTGTTATATTATTGCAATTACTACTGCCACCATTGGTAGTAGCATCTCCAGTAGTAGTAGGCAATGACAGCAGTCCACTTTGTGCGCCATTAAGCGTGCCCACAAGGGCATTGTATAGGGCCTGTTGGTGCAAAGCTCCTGCTGGTGCTTGTGGAAAAGCAGCAGCTGATGGGGCATAGGGTGCTGTATTAGCAGCAGCAGCAGCAGCTGATGCTGAAACGAGCTGGTCACAGAGTCTATTAAGTATGCTATTTTGTGGAGAAATCATTTGGGATTGTTGGTTGGATTGATAACCTGCTGACATAGGTGATGAAGATATCTTAATGTCGTTGTGCATAAAGAAACCTTCATTCGAACTTCCACCACCGAAAATGGACTGAGCGAAAACCGTTGCAGCTTGATGAACATTTTGCGGAAGCCCTGAATAGGGCGAAGTAGCTAAAAGGTCAATCACAGCCTGTTCAGGAAGAAGTGCTTGCTGATTTCGGCAAGCTGGATAACAGACTGACATCAACTCGAAAGAATCACGAACTCTGAAAAACAAAAATAAATTGAATTAATGAAAGTCTAAAAAAAGCCAGCAAACAGAGAAGAGGCCAACTAACCGTTTCGAGATGGACACGAAAGGCTTCAAGTGGCTCATAGAGATGAATTCATGCTCCAAAGCTTTATCTGGGAGGATACGATCAGAGGAGCGGATTTGAAGCATCTTACTAAGGAGATCAGTGAAGTAGGCACGATCGTTACTCTCCAACCTAGCGTTAAAATCATCAAGAAGACCCAAAATCGAGGTCGAAGTGCTGAGTGTCACATCTCGAATTTGCTCCAAGGAATTGAAGATATACTTTCTCGTCTCCTTAGCTCTTTGATTGGTCTCTGAAGCGTATTCATCTTGGGACTTCAAACGCCATTGTCCTAAGCGCGAGTCATAGTGGAAGAATCTATTCGCCTTATTTGCCACTTTGAGCAAGTCCACAGAGGGCAAACCTTGAGTTTCCACAATGTAACGAATCTATAGGAAAGAAATAAAAGACATCTCGATTGGCGAGGGAGTAGAAACCGTAGTTGAAATCAAATTGCGAGTGAGATAATCCTTTTAAGAACCACATGCATGCTTAAATTAAAACTACAATTCTAAACTGGTTTCGTTCTAAAGCAATCAACGAGAGGGGCAAATTTTAGAGAGCTAACACAAGTAGATGCACGCACACAACATATTTGATACAACTCCGAACGTGCATACGCACTGCAAGCAAAGCCTAGTGCATACACATACACAAGCATGTGTGTGTGTGCGTGTGCGCCGTATATGAAATTAAAAATCGCTAGCTCGCAAGCTAGCACACATAAGGCTAGCCTTTACCTCTCGGTCTGTGCGAAATAACGAAGGTTATAATCGATTTTACCAAACATAGCAACAACCTCTCACTAATACACAATTTTTTATTCTCAGTTAAATCACCACAGCCACACATGCGGACATAAAAAAGAGAATGAGGTTAGTGATGACATCAATAATAAGTACCTGATCATACTCAGAAGAACCGGGGTAGAGAGGCCAACCAAGAAAGAGTTCAGCGATGACACAGCCTAGAGACCACATATCGATCGCCTCATTGAAAGGAAGACCAAGAAGAATTTCAGGGGCTCGATAGTACCTCGACTGGAGATAGGTATTTTGCATGGCCTTAGAGGTGTGACAAGCGGATCCGAAATCGATAACTTTCACTCTATAGCGCATAACACCATCGGAAGGACAAACCAACATTATATTCTCCGGTTTGAGATCAGCGTGGATTAAACTTAAACTACGGAGTTTGAAAAGGGCAGTGAGAACTTGTTGAGCAATTGGACGAATTTCACGCAACTCAAGTGGACGGAAATTGTTTGACTTTAGAAATTCATAGAGGTTCTGTTCAAGTAATTCAAATACCAAGCACATGTGGTTCCTGTGCTGGAAGCATTCAATTGCTCGAACAATATTGTGTGCCTCTGTATCATGCTGGCTCAGTGTTTGAAGAATCTGGACCTCAACATTACCCTGTCGCAGGTAGGATGGATGATTTTTCAAGATCTTGATTGCTACGTTCCTATTAGACGTCCTGTTACGACATTTGACAACTTGGCCGAATGTTCCTCGACCGAGAAACGAAAGAACTTCATAAGCATCGTTGCTTGAATAGAGATGTTCTCCGACAACAATCGTATAATCGCCATCATTACCAGCTGAACGAGAAGATGATTTAGCGGTCGAATTTGTCGTCGCAACTTTGTTGGATGTATTTGGAACAGGAAGGTTCTTCATAAGAGAAACTTGACTTAGAAGTGTAGGATAACTGGATGAATCATTAACACCCTGATTGAGGTGAAAACTGTCATAATTTGTGGTTTGTGACGGATAGCCATTACTTCGAGCTTGATTTTTGTTAAAGGGTTGCTGGTGAATAAAGGTAACAGGCCGATTATTATTGAAAAAGTTTTGGTTGATAAATGGAAGATTGGGCACCAAAGCGGGATTAGAGGGCAACAGTGGAAATTGCATCTTGCAGTTGCTTGAATAATTCTCCTCGGCTTTTCTCTTTTTGCATGTGTAGGGCTGGTTACCATTGCGTTGAGCTTGAAGATACTGAATCCCTGATCGAAAATCTTGGGACATGTCACCACCATTAGCGAAACTCTTCGAAACAGGAGTATGTTTGGTCATTTTCAACTTGTTCGCTTTATAAATGTGCCCAGTAAGGTTCTCAGAGGGAGCGAACTGATTTTTGAGAATGTCAAGAGTCTGGGGATCAAAACCATTTATTAAAGAACCAGAATTTAATAGGAATGGATTCGACGAAGATGGGAGCATCTAGTGAGATCTGCAAGAAAATATAACGAGAATATGATTTTATGACATAATAATCCACCGAAAACTATAAGATGAATATATTAATTAGTTTTAGGGGTAACTAATGGGTGGAAAAAAGAACCAAGTAATTAGGTACGATGGTAACTGAGAGGACCTGTGATGTTATGCGAAAGGTATAAATAATTTAGTACATATTTAAATTAAAATAAAGCACCATTAAATATAAAATTCGAAATTAAAAGTCCAATGGAAAAGTTCATAATAAAATTGCAACATTGACTACAAATCAAACAAGAAAACAAAATATTGCGAGTGAAGTATACCTCAAGATTATTATTAGCAATAACCACAGAACAGATTCATATTGCATAAGTAAATGAGTAAGTAATAAATAATGAGGGAAGTCGATGTATGTAAAAAAAATACAAAAGACAAATCATTAGCACAAACGAAGAGCCACCTACATATACAATCACTAAACTGAATCCAGTGCCACAATCTAAGAGTCTATGTGAGTTAAAACAATGACATTAAAATAATTAATATAAAGCCCAATCGTAAAATTATATATTATTATTGATTGAATAAATATTTTACAAGAATATTATATCTTACAATGTTAATTAGTAATGTTTTGAATTATGCCTTAATTAATATTGTGACAATATTATGACAATGTAACAGTGATCATTAAATTTTATACCTCTGTAAAGTATTTATTTTGATTAATTTGTTATATTTTTTGAATTTAGCTTTCACTTGAACATCAAACCTTTTCTTTAACCAGTTCATCAAAGATCGTATAATATTTTATGCAAATATTATTATTAGCTAGTAATAATTGATCAATACATGTATAAGGATTTGAATTACTTTTATACGTAATATTTTTGTGAAATTTTGTTTTCAAAATTAGTATGGAACAAATATGGCTTTAAATTTATTGTCATTATCAAACGAACGACTGTTGCGTGAATAATATTAACCGCGCTTATTCATATTCAGAATGATTTTAATTTGTAGATGTTTGCCAATCCATGATTCAAAATGCGGAATATATACTTCGGTAACTTTTGCAGCACCATAATACCAGTGCGAGATAGTACTGTACATTACTTACTAAAATTCAAGTTGTATATTTTTAGAACATGCATATCTTTAAGTTAATTAAATTCTATCCAGTTCTAATTGAGTCATTGCTGTGAGATATATTCTTAGTCTTTGGATCTCGTCAATATAGGTGTACATATTAAGTGACTAAAGTGACATTTCTATTCTATTCTCTTTCGTTTAACATTCATTAAACGTGTCTTTCTGAATCCGTAATTTATTTATCAAAACTCAAAAGCCAGTAATTTCCCTCTAGTTCTTTCCTCCCAGTCCCTTTTAGTTGTGCCTGGAAAATGCATACCAAATCGCTAACTTATTGGTACTTTATTCATATGATCTGTTTTAATAAATTCTGTTTGAAAAGATTAAATGATTTTGAAAATGAATGTTATAGAGAACGCAATTCACGACTGAACAATCTAAAGAGTGCGACCGTGCGTGCAGAGGCTTCTCAGTTATTAATGCTCATTCAAGCTGCGTTAAATGTATTTAATTACTAATTTCGGTTACCGTGAACAGATTTGATTTCAATAAATACTACGTTCTCTATACGTCTAATTCTTCTAGCTCATGGAGTTAGTTTAACTAATTTCAAAGCCTATTCCTTCAATGCTATTTCGCCATAGGAATTATTGAGGATACGTCAAGACTTAGTGTAGTGAACTAATTCAATCCATAATTCTAAGAAAATTTCCCCAACCTGTCTATTGGTATACAAAGCAGCACATTATTGAATTATACGTAAAGTAAAATCTTTAAGTTCAAAATACTTCATAAAAAGCTTTACTGATATATACAAATTTATATGTATACTTTTGAAAGTGCCCCAGTACAACGCATCTGATGATGGATATTTTTTTTAAATATTTTGCAATCGTGAAATTTCCCCTTCATAAACGATTTCCAAATTCCAATATTTTTGTTAGAAATGGAATGGGCACAAAGGTCATGCGCATGAAATCGAATGGGGGTTAAAGAATTACAAAATATATCCGTCTAAATGTTGTCTTCCTCTGCGGAGTAAAGCGCCTCAACTGCATCTTCACCACGAGCATGGTCATCACTCTCACTTGCGTGGCACGTCTTCTGAGACAGAGTAGAAACTGATTCGTTCAAAACTTCTAAAAATCGCGTCATTTGACTTTCCATCTGTTCCAAACGGTTGCGCAGTCGTGTTAGTTCTCCATCATCTTATCAAAAATCATTCATGACCCTTCATAACATATTTATAAGGTAAATATGAATACTAATGAAAAGAGGTACTAACCCAAGTTCTCATCATCAGCCTTTTTGAGCAAGTATTCTAAATCTCTGGGTAAACCAGCGATAGAGCGATAAATGTCCGATGTTGAAGTTGGATTATCGGGTGTCGGAGACAAACCAATGTCATCTATAAAGGAATGATGTTAATTCCTTCCATTTCACATCAATGCTTAATTGTAATAATAATAATATGGTATTCACAATCTGGCAGGAAATTGTGGCGTTCACAACGATGCTCATCTTCAGAAGAATCACTATCCATTTGAAATTTTCCTTTTTCAGGAACATAACGAAAATTACGAGAATAATCTTTCATATGCTCCTTCTCCTTTAGAAGACTGACATTTCTTCGATTACTTGTAAGCTATAAAAATCAAAATTGGAAAAAATGACTATTAAATTATTACTTGCCTTGAAAATTGTATAGGCAAAATATACAAATATGCCGAATGCATAAAAAGGGAGTATCGCAGAGATAATTCCTGAACCAATTTCCTTATGCGATGGTGCATGACCATTCTAAACACATTCATTTATTTACGCTTAATCAAACCTGATAGCCTAATTGATCCGCGGTAGGAACCTTTTCTTAACAAAATAATAAATCTGTCTTAAAACATACTTTCTCCACTTTTTCGGAATCCAAATAGATAGAAAACCATGGGTTGGATAATAAAAATATATGATGAGCAAAGTACTACGCAACTTATCGCAGATAATAATAAATTTACTCCTATTGAAAGCATGATTTAATTTGGGTGCTAGCTTCGAGGTTATGGCTAACTAATATGCTTTGATAAACGTTAATAATTTAAAACAAACAACTCTGCTAAATTTTTAAAGGTTGCACACAATTCCGTAAAATGTAAATTTCTTTGTTTCATTTTAATTAATATTAAAATAAGATTTTAAAAGAGCTTTGTGCTTCCCGCTTTCCTTAGAATGTTCGACTTAGAAGGCTTGAAATACCTTTGATTCTTACAAAATTGTATGTGGGCATATATTTAATTGAAGACAAGAGTTTTGCACAATTCGATGTTACTGGATGTCAGAGTGACGTGCCTGAAGTATATGAAACTATGATTATTTTACAAATAATTCGTGCTTGAAAAATTAAAGACCTTTTTATTTTCAACTGACTTAGTTTAGGTTCAATGTGAACTTTGTAAGCTATATTTATTTCGAAATTCTTACTAGGTCATAAAATTTTAAATAATTCACACGTATTTGGGCCTGAAGCCATTTTCATCTGCCATATATGCATGGACTTATCGAGAGCAAGTCATCTATATTTTATATTGATAAAATTACCATAAAGTGGATCCGAGCCAAGTAGAAATTATATGCTCGATCAGTGTGGAGGTGGCCTGAAATGCTATTGACATCTATTAATAAAAAATGGATTTCTATTAAAACCAATCCTTACAAGACTCCAGTCACACCATTCTTTGATATATTTAAGTGATGATGGGCAGCTCTGCCTAAATCTATGTAGATTTATGTATGAAGTTGTTAATTTCAAAACCCCATTTTTCCTAACATCCATTAACTTTATCAATTATTGAATAATTCTAAATGTGCAAGTAAATACTGCTTACTTTTCACTGTGAAAATTATGTTTGAGTGAAATTTGATCGCATTTACTTCCTATTATTTATTTCTGATGGAAGAAAGATATCCTATTGTGGAAATCGTATTTTTCCTTTTAAGAGGTCTTAAAGGGTATTACTATGACCGGTGATGGGGTGTGCAATAGACTTACCTCCACGTGGTGCACTCTGGATAACGGATGCTCATGGATCAAAAGTCTGTAAACCGCTATTTTACTTCAGATTACCATGTAAACGTAAACTCCACTTTCACCATTTTATCAAATAACGCTTACGTCCTCATAGGACATTTGCACTCCCTAACATAAAGGCGAATATAGTTCTATACGTATATTCAAATATAACATCATTTTGATAAAATATAAGTCCTATTAAAAGGAGAAAGCAACAAAGTCTCATTCAGTAAAAATAACCTTCACACATAGACACAAAGACTAAAGAGAATGGGATGGAAAGAAAGAAAGAGTAAGAATAAATTAATGATATACTATAGCTGAATATTACAGGGGCGATATTTTCCGGGATCAGTAAAGCCACTTTTTCCGACAACCCAGGCATCAAGATCTCGTCGAGATGACGGATTCTTCCTTTGTAAAAGGCGTGGAAGGGATCGGTAGTTGACTATGGTCGGTTCTCTTGAGAGACTCTTTCCTACGAAGGGAAAAGCGTAGAAGCAGTTACCTTACTCACATTATCAAATCATACACATGCGTTAGTCAGGTGAAAGTGAGTTGTGGTAAGGGAAATTCTCATGCAAATGATTACAACATTCAACCAAAATGCTGTTATCAATTGTTAGACGATTGGTAGCGCATCAAGACTTACCAATTACCGGGGCTCAAAGCTTTATTGTACCACTAAAGACGAACATTAACAACTGATAATTAGAAACATATTGGTCTATTCAGGAAATAAATAAATAAATAAATAGAATTTAGCAGTCGGTGGGTATGGCTTGTACTTCGAATTAGTCTGCTAAACGCCAGTCAGTAGTCATAGCTTTGAGAATTTTCAACCAGGAAAATAAAATAAGACTCAAAGCAGTAATCTTTCCTGAAGGATGTCTGAAGGCCGTCCATCAGCGCTTTGAGCCCCGCACATGAATAACAATGTATATAGCTGTTAGTCTGTTTAACAGGAGGCTGACTTGGTTCCTTGAGACTAACACTATTCTTAGGAGTGAACAAACAGGTTTTAGGCCGCAAAGATCAACTAACCAACAAGTAGCCACTTTCTCCCAACATATCAAAAATGCCCTTGATGCAAGAAATACTCTTACGGCTGTTTTCGTCGATTTCAAATCAGCATATGACTTAGTATGGAAAGAGAAGCTAATTCTAAAATTGGCAAAGATTGGTATTAAGCATAACATGCTAAACTGGATAAAAACATTCATTGGACAAAGATCATGTAAAGTCAGATATGAAAATGCTCTATCAAAATCCAATCTTTCACAAACAGGCCTTCCACAGAGAGCTGTCACAAGCTGCACTCTTTTCAATGTCTTCATCAATGACATAGCCGAATTAATACAGACAGTCACGGGCATCAAGTGCTTACTTTATGCAGATGATCTTGTTCTATGGTATTCCGCCCCTAAGAAAAACGCTCAGGAGAGGACAGAAAGTGCCCTAAATTGTGCACTAAAACTACTAGCAAACGGGTGCGACAACAATAGAATGGTTATCAACACCGCGAAAACTGCATTCCAAACTTTTTCTTTGGCCCGTCACAGCATAAACCCGATTCTAAGGTACAAGAATACTACCCTAGAAAGAACCAATGAGTTCACTTATCTCGGAATGACGTTTGACACAAAGCTAACGTGGAAAAGCCACATTGCTAAAATAGCAGAACGAGTCCCCAATAGACT